TTTCCGAAATTCAGCTGCCATTTTCCAAAATGGCAGCCAACTTAGAAATTTCTTATGGAACACCCTATATTTTATGATGTTTTCGGATAGAACAGGCAATTTAAATACTTTTTTATTCTTGACTTTTTTTCGATAAACCCAGATTCTTTTTTTCGATGTTTAGGAGTTACAGCCTATGGAAAAATGACTTCCGGTGTACATTTTACATCATGTAGCTTCTAAACAAGTGGGTTTATAGCGAAAATGCGAAAAGTAAATAAGTCAAATAAGTCTTAAAATTGCATCCACATTCCAAAAAGACCATAAAATACACAGTTTTCCACTTTTCAAGTTTGCCGCCATTTTGGAAATAATAGAATTAATAGTTTTAACGAATTTTATGGTCTTTTTGGAATGTGGATGCAATTTTAAGACTTATTTGACTTATTTACTTTTCGCATTTTCGCTATAAACCCACTTGTTTAGAAGCTACATGATGTAATATGTACACCGGAAGTCATTTTTCCATAGGCTGTAACTCCTAAACATCGAAAAAAAGAATCCGGGTTTATCGAAAAAAAGTCAAGAATAAAAAAGTTTTTAAATTGCCTATTCTATCCGAAAACATTATAAAATATAGGGTGTTCCATAAGAAATTTCTAAGTTGGCCGCCATTTTGGAAAATGGCGGCTGAATTTCGGAAAAATAAAATCATATTTTTAACTGCCACAAAAAAATAAAGGAATGTCCCCCATTTAAAGTTTTCTCTAATTCTTACCGTTTCCGATATCCCAATGGTGGCCTCCTTGAGTTGATCACCCTGCATAATCCAATGTATGTTTGTTTGTATGTATGTTTGTTTGTTTGTCCTTTATGGACTCCGAAACCGCCCGACAAATTGTAATGAAACTTTCAGGCATTATTAAGCATTATTCAAGGATGGTTTGTGAGATGTTTGGTGCAGATCCGTCAAAAGGGCTCCGCCCCAGTGGCTCTGGAGTTTCCCATGTTAACTTATGAGTACCTACTCATATTTAAATGGAATTAAAGGCTCTTAACAGGTGGAACAACTAAGCAATTTGATTCTGTGATGTTAAATAGCATTAAAAAGTTGATAAGTTTACCAACAGGGTGCAGCACGATTATTATTTTTTTATTTATGACAACAGCTAATTTGCAACCAAAAGGTGAGTGAGCGTAGCGAACGAACTTCAACCTAGAGGCGAGTTAGCGTAGCGAACGAGCTAACCTGAAGGCAAGTGAGCGCAGCGAATGAGCTCCAACCTAAAGGTGAGTGAGCGTAGCGAACGAACTTCAACCAGGATCTTGAATATGAACAAGCATTAGGCATAAAACCACATTAGGACAGGACAACGTCTGTCGGGCCAGCTAGTTATTAATAATAAAACTATTGATTGGTTAAGATGAATGAGATAAACAAAACAGAATGCAGTAATAATTACACCTGATTTTAAAAAGGTAAAAAATTGAAAGAATAACAAACAGTTAAATACAGCTGAGGTATTAACATTAGGAATATGGAATGTTCCTTTTAGAAAGGGTTTACGACCTTAAAGGGCAATTTATGAAATACAGTAATGGATAGTTTTCCGTCATGACAAACATTTTTGTGTATGGTTTATGGGGGCGTGACTTTTAGTTTTCTCAATGGTTCATGGGTAATTTGGACTTTATAATTTATGGATAGCCTCATAGCTAATACCATTACTGATTTGACAGTTTAATATGTCATAAAATATAGGCATGATACAAAAAATAACACAATTTGTAATATAACTCTACTCGCTTCACGCCATAGTTTAACTAATAATTTCTATACGGGATGATAAATTAAAGTATGTATATAACCACAAAACACAAGGAGAAGGGTGGAGTAGTTGGATGTAGTACCACACTGCACCTTTGGCATGTTGTACGTACGTTGTTCGCCTGTACTCATTCGACACCAAACAACAACGACCAAACAATAACAGCTTTCACAACGTCCCTCATTTGACCATAAGCAATCTACAACATCAGCAGCAGCAGCAGCAGCAGCCGTACCAATGACATAACCAGGGCAGCGTCCAGCCTGAGCACAGCGATCAGCATCTTGACGTTCACATGGCTTCCCCAAATTCTCAAGTTAACGGGGTTTTTGAGTTTACAATAGAGGTCTACGTCATGATCATTGATATTAACTGGCACTTTCAACTTAATGCCAATCTATAACAGACAATAAAATGTCAAGCTAACTGGGCATTGTAAAGTAAAAAAACCTTTATGAATTCAGAATGTTCATACACTTAAAACGTAATAATAAAGCTTTGTGTATAAAAAGTAAAATGCTCCGATGTACTTGGAAAAACCGATTGCTCAAACGTGTACAGATCACTATTTACATACCCTAATACTAACATAACTAACTTATGTTTCTTCTTTCATCATACAGTACTGAATGGTAGAAAGTTTGTTCACACTGTAGCATTTGTTTACATAATTGTTATTCGATAGTTTAACATTACTTATAAGTGTATTGCTAACTGTGCGATCAGTTTGGGTGGTCCCACGATGCTGGGGCATTCACTGTAGGGCCTACTCAGTTCGGGCGGTCCCACGAAGCTGAGGCGACACTGTACTCGGTTTGGGTGGACCCACGATGCTGGAGTGATCAGATCACTGTACTCAGTTTGGGTGGTCCCACGAAGCTGAGGCGATCACTGTACTCAGTTTAGGTGGTCCCACGATGCTGGGACGATCACTGTACTCAGTTTGGGTGGACCCACGACGCTGGGGTGATCACTGTACTCCGTTTGGGTGGTCCCACGATGCTGGAGTGATCACTGTAATCGGTTTGGGTGGTCCCATGATGCTTCAGCGATCACTGACCTCAGTTTGGGTTGTCCCACGATGCTGGGGTGATCACTGTTCTCAGTTAGGTTGGTCTCAAGATGCTGGGGCGATCACTGTACTCAGTTTGGGTGGTCCCACAATGCTGGGGTGAACACTGTACTCAGTTAGGGTAGTCCCGCGATGCTGGGGCGATCACTGTACTCAGTTTGGGTGGTCCCACGATACTTAAGCGATAACTGTACTCAGTTTGGGTGGTCCCACGATACTTAAGCGATAACTTTACTCAGTTTGGGTGGTCCCAAGACGTTGAGGTGATCACTGAACACAGTTCGTGTACGAAAGTTGACTGTTTTCTGACCGTTGTGCTCAATTTAGGTATACCCAAGCTTGACACGCAAAGGCTCGTAATGACATGTTTTGTTAATTTCACTACTTTCTTCGTAGTAAACTATTTATATCAGAGGAAATGAGAAAAATAGTTACTTTCGAACTACCCTTTATTTCATTGAGCATTAACGAGCTTAAACGAGGAATTTCCTTTTGCTACTGTTCAGCTTTAGACTTACTATGAAACTTCTTAAAAATACTTAATAATTGGGATCTTCACTTCGACGTTTGTCATTTATCTACTTTTGGGGGGCTCAAAAAGCAAAAGTTTGGATCTGTTTCAATCATATGCTGAACAATTCGTAGACATATTTAAAGACCAATGAAAAACAACCCCAACCAATGTTTAAATTTTTCAGAATCAGTGTAAATCTTCGAATGATCGATTTTTAGTGAACTTCAAACTCTTAGTGTAATTATTGTAGAGTTTAATTGTTATTTCTAGGGTATTAGCTCACATAACAGGAGTGTTCAATTAAATCTTATGTATTTTCCCTCTAATGTATGGTACAAATCACTAATGCAGCGATTCCGAGGGTTTCTACTTGACTGTTTCTCCAGTTCGACCCGAGGCATTGAGCCATTTACTAAACTTCTCAATGGTTTCATAACTCGAGGAAGGAGCTCCGTCCCATGCTGGGCCAGGATCGTGCCTTCCTGATCAGTTCCGATAGACAATAATGACATATTTTCCGTCTTTTATCACTAGAGCCTCCACGGTCCATCAGGTTCCACGATCTTCGCCATTGCGATTGCCCTTCGTCAGAGAAAGGAGAGGATAGAGGGAGCTGAGTAAATAAGCAATCTGTGATCGTCTGTGATAAGCGCTTAGGAATAAATAGTAATTATAGTGTTTCTCCTTTTAAATTTTAAGTAATATTTATACCTCACGATCCAAGGGAAGTAATGCAAATTGAGCAGTTAAAATAGTTACCTAGTAATTTAATTTCACTGGTTCGATAACTGGAAAATCAGGTAATTTTGTGGAAAGATAAGTTGCCTGGCATTCCGTATAGGTAAATATCGGTAACATTTCTGATGTACACACAAACTTGTCTTGCCTAGTGTGAAAAACTTATCAAAAAATGTCAATAAATACTACTTAGGAACGGATATTGATTTTTTTTACAAAATTGCAGAAGGTATTAACATTTATGTTACAAACTTTTACATAACAAGTTATATGAAGAAGGTTCAAAAGTGATTCGTGTGACTTTGGCAGAAAACTCATAATGTGCTTACTCTACATGAAATAACAGCGCGTGTTCGAAAATTATAAGATAAAAACAGCATCCAGCTTAGTATAATACTAATAATCAGCCAGTGAAACTGAAACCAATTACTTCGTAGGTTGAAAGACATAATTTCATCTAAATGTTCCCACGTAAACTCGGACATGGGGCACTTCTAATTATTACATCCAACAGATGGGTTGGATTACTCAACCCCATTATTCGACGCAGTGGCCACTACCTCATTCCACGCAGATGCATGAGCCGTAACAGTCAAAGTACGGCCCCAGTTAGTTGTAACTGGTCGTTGCGTTGGGCGACCATTCCAGTTGGTTTTATTGCGGATTCAGAACCCTCAATCTGGTTTACTGTACCTCTAAATTACAGCGATCCACCAGGTTGTCGGTTTGTGTGTCAGTCGCCAGTCGGGCATCTACTGTACCAGGTGTCATCAGGAGAAGGCAGATGAGGCTCAGTATACCGTCGTGAGTCGTAAATAGTAAACAATAGAAAACTAGGATAAGTAGAGCCATCACTAGGAGAACTCACCTTGTCAGAGTGTGATCTGTGAGGGTTGGCCCGGGGGGTGTTCTCCTCTCCAGGCACGTCATCGCCTTCCCCCTCGCACTCGCCCTCCGGCACTATGTACAGTCTGATCCGATACATCGTCACTTTGGTGTCAACACATCGGCACGACACGGCTCACTTCTGATACGTCCAAATAACTCTTACAGTCTAGGAGTACTGTAGAACAATCACGAACTTGGATAAATAAACCTAAAGGTATAGATGGTTGTGACAAAAGAAAATGCCAAAACTGAATTTGAAGTATTCAAGGATCAGAATCTGTCAACAAAATATACCTAAAATTTTAGAACGGATTTCTACGATAAATCCGTGGTAATATTATAATGATCAATCTAGTATAAGAAGATCAAGCCCGTTTAAGTTTCCATTCATTACTTTACCAAAGCACGTTGTTGAGGTTAACATGGTGGCTTATATGTACACCCACCTCTCAATGAACACGCGTAAAAAGAAAACCAACTGTAATATATGAGCAGTATGAGTAAGAGGAAATTATAAGAGGAGTGTGAAAACCCCGTGTGAGGATAAATGGTTCGGACAAAAACACTTTCCCGTCCGGTTTCTCCAGTTTTTACAGGCCGAGGACTGCGGACTGTGTAAGTGAACTATGAGCGGTTCGACCTCGGGTTCCCAGTCCTGGGACTGACTTTCTCACTCACAATATCTGAGCATCAATTAGAGTACGACAGTTCTTTCCGGACCATCTCAGCAATTACCATTCCAGGATCATCCTACTTCTCGCTTCAACACACTTTCTTCACGGCCTCTTTTCCTGGTTACGGACGTGTTTTGGGTGTCTGCCGTGCAGCCAAGTTGTGTAACATTCGATCAAATCATTGACAGTGTAAACACAGATTCTACCAAACGTCTAATGTTACACAACTTTACATCAATTTGTTATTAGTAAAAATGAATAACTTTGTCTCTTAACATCTCAAATTTAAAAATAAACATTTAGCTATCCTAGACTTTTATAATTATAATGACCATATACCCATGGAAATTCTTCAGTAAAATTATCTGGAAATGAAATTTTAATTACCATACAATCAAAGAGTAGATTATTATACTAACAGCATTTATTTCTTACAATCGATGTCAATACGTTGTTTATTTGGACTCTATGTGTTACATTTTACTAAATTTGGGATATTTAATCCAGTTTTAAATTGCATTAAGGATTTTAAGAAGGAAAATTAATTTACAAACATAAATACTGTATTGTCATTGAATGCTGTACGAATGTCCCAAGCCACTACGTACACAGAGGGTTATGTACCAACAATGGGAACAATAATGATCCCATCCCGATGGCTCGCTCCCAATGTTATGCAAGTGTTGTCAGCTAATTAGCATGTGTAAGTGAGGCGGAGTGTGTTGTGGTGTAGGCCATACACGCATGAGAGCTCCTCACACACTACTGGCTGGATCAACTGAACATGAACCTAAACTACATGTTATCATAGACACTACAGCACCACATACCGTACTTAACAAGTCTGCCAGTGCCAAGCTATCATTATATTACAATTAACTACCTGTCCTTGGCGAGAGTTCGCACGGTGCCAACATAAATTAAGTACAAAAGAAGTATTTAGATCCGGGTGACGATTCTACGATCTAACCTTTCCTTAAGAAAAACATACAAAATGTTTAACAGAACAAAATTGTTATGCAATAAATGTATGGTGTATCATGAAATCCTGATTAAAACGTGCAACTCCTCAATGAGCTAAGGATCTTCTCAATAAGCAGCGGTACATAACTTTTGGCTAAATCATTAGCTTTACTTTGACGGCAATTAGTGTTGTCACAGAGTATACTCCAGTTATGGACATTTCACAACGCCGTCGGCGAGGACGTTACACTGTAGTACACAGCAATGCTGAGCACGTGGCCACATTGGTCTGGAGTTACTAGCGACCTTGCCAAGAGGTTCTAGTAGTAGATATACAATAGTCATACGTTTGTAAAAATCTTGAAAACACGAAGCTTAATGAAACTAAAAAAACATTCTGTACTCCTATTGTTATGTGTTGTTCCGACGACAACCTGAACGCTTACAACTTGAATTAATAACGCCTAAGAAAACTAAGGAAATCCTAAACAATTGTTCTTTGAAGGTCAATTAATATGTTCTATACTATGTCTCGATGAATGTGTATATGAGTGTCTAATGTTGTGAGCGTGATATGAAGGCTATTACACGCTACACGATGGCCGAGCTCAGTCACGGCGTGTAGGCTTACAGTGTATTACGTCACCACACCACACCACTGTATCATAGCGAGCTAAACTGTTTATAATCTGTGGAATGTCTTCGGATATCAAAATAGAGTGATATTCTCCAAAGCAAATTCATAAAATTAAGTTTTATTCCTTTTTACGAATATAATGATACAATAAAACCTCTTATAACTGAAATCTAAAGAACTTTATACTTAAATTGGGTAACTAAAAGATCCGTAGCAAAATAAAATAGAAATATGTCATACCATTTCATATAATCATGTTCATCAACGGTGCTTCGGCCATCGGCGTATGGTAAATACTGTTTCCAGTAATGTTTAATAACCATTTTCGGCACGATTAGCAAATTTCAACATTAGATACCCTGTATGTAGGCCTAGTTTTATCTGTCGACACTATTTAGGTTTTAGCTAACACCAACCGTTCCAATCTTGACTTATTAATATTTTTAATTGAATCGAATTAATACTCGTTTCTTCGACAGAAATTGTTACTGACGAGATAAATATGTGCACTCGATTTTCTTTTCATGTAAAATATATTTGAACAAGTTTTGTTTTGATTATGGGTTTCAACACAAACGGATGGTAGTTCTTACAGATATTAAAGTTGAAACTCGCATGAACATATTTTTCTTCAACTGTAAACATGGGATCGTGTTGATGAATGCTTTCAGACAACAGTGTGAGCCGGTTGCCGGATAGTCGCTGCCTCGCTGGTTCACCACACACCCTTGTAGCGGTCGTGGTGGTCTGTGGTCGGTGGTGGTGGTGGTGGTGGTGGTGGTGGTGGTGGTGGTTGGTGGTGGTCGGTGGTGGTCACCGCTAACGAGCCGAGGCTGCGGTCACTTTTTGCGGCCTCCAAGGTCGCTCATCTTATTGTTCTGCCTCCGAATTACCTCGGACCGCAAACTACGTGACACACGCTGAATGATCCGACAAGTGACTCTCATTGTCTGGACTCCGAGCCATATACTTGCACAATGAGCAAAGATGAAAATTTGCTAAACGGTTAATGCAAGTTGCAGTTGAAATACCCACTTAAACGAGCATTTCTAGATTAAGTACAACGTTAATATTTTATAATCATATACAGTGCTATTACACATTTAAAAAGACATAAGCAGTAAGTAACCTATGCTCCGATTATCGAAATAATGTGCCTTGCGGAGCGGCCGCGCGGGGACCGAGTTACAATCATTCTATTTCACTCCTGGAAACAGAATGTTAGACATTTTTTAATAAACAGCATTTGATTCAAATAGTTAGTTAAACACGTTTCCAGCACATATTATAAATATTTTGTATCTTATTCCGATGAACTAATAAAATGTAGTTATATTTTGTAAAAACACTAATTGGATTTTTTTAAATTTTTGCAATTCGTGTTAAAAAATATTATTTGAGCGGTATAAGATACCGATATTTCAAACATGTGCTGAAAACTTGCAACTGGCTATTTAAACACCATTCATTGTAAATTGCTTAACTTATGTTTTACGTTTCCACAGGTTTGTGAATTTAATGTTTGTACTTAAACTCGGTCGCCCCGCGGCCGCTCCGCAAGGCGCATTCTTTCGATTATCTGAGTATAGTTTAAACAAGTACGGTTGAAAAGAAATCCTAAAAGCAGTAATCCATCACAAGAGGTTACGAGAGTAGACACTGTCGAGTAGACGGAAGGTGTATAATTAATATACAATACCACAGACTGTTTAACAACCTTGTATGTACAGTTACGTATCTCGCATACCTGCATACTGCAGTAAGGCGCGAATGCCGTTACAACACGAACACGGCTACCCGTTGTACATGAACACTAAACAAATTATACTTAAGAAATTGCAATTATATTCGATTCTTTCCGGCAAACAAACAAAAGAAACTACCTTGAAAAAACACAATCTGTGCGTTCTCAATAATTGGTCTTATTAGTCTTTTAACGTATCAGTAGTCAAAGCTTTTAGCCCAATAGCGTAGTACCCCAAGAACCAATTGAATATACTGTACCATACTACAGCCAAAAACCTCGTATACCGACGGGTTATAACCACAAGAAGCCAACGAATATCACACACTACTGCCTAGAACCTCGTATACCGACTAGGTAGTACCCCAAGAACCCAATGAATATCCCACAATACTGCCTAGAACCTCGTATACCGACTAGGTAGTACCACAAGAACCCAATGAATATCCCACAATACTGCCTAGAACCTCGTATACCGACTAGGTAGTACCCCAAGAACCCAATGAATATCACACACTACTGCCTAGAAACTCGTATACCGACTAGGTAGTACCCCAAGAACCCAATGAATATCACACACTACTGCCTAGAACCTCGTATACCGACTAGGGAGTACCACAAGAACCCAATGGATATCCCACACTACTGCCTAGAACCTCGTATACCGACTAGGTAGTACCACAAGAACCCAATGGATATCCCACATTACTGCCTAGAACCTCGTATACCGACTAGGTAGTACCCCAAGAACCCAATGAATATCCCACACTACTGCCTAGAACCTCGTATACCGACGGTGTAGTACCTCGAGAACCGAATGAATATCCCAAACCACTGCCTAGAGCTCCGGATGGTCTGCCTCTGGTCGCGTTAAGGTGCATTGTCCCTGAAGCGACTCTTGCGATAGTAGCTGAGCGATAGTAGCTCAGCGATAGTAGCTCAGCGATAGTAGCTCAGCGATAGTAGCTCAGCGATAGTAGCTCAGCGATAGTAGCTAACCATGTCATTGTCCCTGAAGCGATTGTTCTAGAGCGATTCTGTATATTAGTTTGCTGACTTTCGAGTGAATTGGTGCTATGAGTGCCATGACACCTCCTAATTTTAAAACGTTTTTACTAGCTCGCTTTTTTGTCCGGTACAAACTTTGCAATAAATTTTAAACTAACTTCCCGACCAGCTAGAGAAATGAAACTAGAGAACACAGCTCACAAATGGATGACAATGTAATACTATAACATTTAATTTTTATATTTTCCTTT